GACCTCATTCTTGATGGTGTAGCTCAGGGACCTCCAGTTAATGAGAGGGCTCGGCAACATAAAGTTTTTATCAGACAACCCAACCTCAACAGGGCTCAGCATCCGGGGCCACAGGTTGACGTCGGAGATCTCCCCCACGAAGGACTGGTTGATGTCAAAGCCCCCTCCGAAGTTATCCTGGTCCTGGCCCAGCAGAACGGAGCCCTCGGGGTTGATGCTGTAGCCCTTCTTCAGCCCCTGTCGAGGGAGGGGGACTCCGTTGAGCCAGAACTGGACCAGTCCGTTGCTGGAGTCCCACGACACGCAGATGTGCTCCCAGCTCGGTTTCTCCTTCTGGGCAACCTTGAAATTTACCACCCCACCCCCAACATGAATGGCATACTCGTTGGGCTGGCTCTTGTAGATGAGGAAATCGTTGTCGACGGAGCGGGTGGCGTAAGAGAAGAGGCCGTACGGACGGGTCAGGAGGGTGTAGTAACTCAAACAGACGGTCAGCTTGGTCAAGGGTTGCTGGTTGGAGATGGGGAGAACCACAGCAGAGGTGGCCGATGGGGCTGGGAAAGCAAAGACCTTGTTCCTGAGATCTAGAAGGGGACAAAAGGAATCTTGGTCAGACGCCTGAGAACATGGAGGGCGAGGTTGATGCCACATGGCTCTTTTACATCCAGCAAAAAGAAAGCACAAATTAAGTCATCCACCTTGGAATCGCTGACTCTGTTTTTAGAGGGAGGGTCTTGAAGAAGAGATTCATCTCAGTTCAAGTACAGGGAATTGGGGTTGGGGGTGGGGTTTAATCACATATCGGACACTCCCGGACATGTGGCGCCCAAGCAGAAGAGCAAGTCTGGAATCCTAAGTTTCTTCTGGTTGATGGAGGGAGGGAGGGAAGTGGGGAGGGAGGAGAAAAGGAAGGGGGGGATGGAGGGAATGAGAGACAGAAAGGAAAGAGGGTGGGAGGGAGAAAGGAGGGAGGGACAGGGAGGGAGGGGGGAGAGAAATGGAGGAGAGAGGAAGGAAGGGACAAAGGAAGGGGGGCAGAGAGAGGGAAGGGTGGAAGGGAGGGAATGGGAGAGAGAAAGGAGGAGGGAGGGAGGGAAGGGAAGGAAGGAGGGAGGAGAAAAAGAAGGAGGGGAGGGAGAAAGGAAGGAGGGAATGGGAGACAGAAAGGAGAGAGGAAGGGAGAGACAAAGGAAGGGGGACAGAGAGAGGGAAGGGCGGAAGGGAGGGAATGGGAGAGAGAAAGGAGGGAGGAAATGGAAAGAGGGAGGGAGGAGAAACGGAAGGAGGAGAGGGAGGAAGAAAGGAAGGAGGGAATGAGAGACAGAAAGGAGAGAGGAAGGGAGAGACAAAGGAAGGGGGACAGAGAGAGGGAAGGGTGGAAGGGAGGGAATGGGAGAGAGAAAGGAGGAGGGAGGGAGGGAAGGGAAGGGAGGAGGGAGGAGAAAAGGAAGGAGGGGAGGGAGGGAGAAAGGAAGGAGGGATGAAGGGAATGAGAGAAAGAAAGGAGAGAGGAAGGGAGAGACAGAGGAAGGGGGATAGAGAGAGAGAAGGGTGGAAGGGAGGGAATGGGTGAAAGAAAGGAGGAGGGAGGGAGGGGAGGGAAGGGAGGAGGGAGAAAAGGAAAGAGGGAGGGAGGGAGAAAGGAGGGGGGACTGAGAGAGGGGGGGAAGGGAGGGAATGGGCGGGAGAAAGGAAGAAAGGACAGGGAGGGAGGGGAGAGAGAAATGGAGGAGAGAGGAAGGAAGGGACAAAGGAAGGGGGACAGAGAGAGGGAAGGGTGGAAGGGAGGGAATGGGAGAGAGAAAGGAGGAGGGAGGGAAGGGACGGGAGGAGGGAAGAGAAAAGGAAGGAGGGAGGGAGGGAGATGGTGGACAGGAGTTCAGGTCCCTCCTTACTCACGGCAAGCAAAAACTCAATCGATTTCACCCAACTTCTGGAGACCACAAGACCCTCAACAGATAGGCAGAGCTCCTCCTCCATGGGTTTAAAACCTCACCTTCATGGCCGAAGGATCCTGACAGGCAGGCGAGGATAAGAAGGAAGGACAGAAGGAGGACCATCTTGGTGGAGGATGGAGGAACCAGCTGGCCGCAGGAACTCTGAGAAGCCCTCTTGGGTCGATATTGGGTGCAGAACCAAGTCACCTCTCCAAATGGCGAACCTCTGGGACATTCCTCAGATATCTCTCTTGAACGCAGGACAAAGAGGAGTATTCTCCGAAAATTACTTCCTGGGACTTTCCCACGACAGAGTATTTGCATTTGTGACGTTCTTTCTAATCCCCGTAATGTCATATGATAGAATCATTAACTAATATGATGTATTAGTCAACTATTACCTGTGTGGAGATAGATTAGGGGCTCGATTTCTTATCTTAACCGATTAGATGCCCAATCAAAATAGCTCGAGGAAGAAGGAAAGAAGTAGAGAAGGAAGGGAGGGAGAAAAGAAAAGAAAGAGAAAATAAGGTGGTGTCATAGCAGGTGTGAAG